AAAATTCATTCTCTGCTCTTGAGCAAGCATCAGAGAAATTAAATACAATATCATTCATTAGTGACAATCCATAAAATATGCATGTGCATGCAAGTATGTCATGATTATTTTTCTTCGTAAAGTGAAGCCACTGTTTATTTTGTCTGAGATACAAAATGTGCCTATCCTATGGGCTAAGCAAATAGAAAAGATGTTTTGCAGAAAAATGTAAAATTAATTATTATAACCTGGACCTACTTTGGAGTAAGATGTACAGCCTGCTCCTAAAAAGCCAGGCTTCATACCCTTCTACCAGATCCAGGCTTCATACCCTGCTATTAAAGCAGCCATAAAAATATGGCCAAATTCGAAATCAGAAAGTGCTACTTCCCATTCCTTCAGTTTTAAACACATTGCAAGAAAAACAGCTAAGCAAATGCACAAGCATGTTCTGCACCAGCTAAACAGTGCAGGTGATGTTAAGCCTAGGGCACAACTCGCTGCAGCTGCCTGGTGCAGAAGGGATTAATCCAGGGGTGATTTCAACAAGTGCTGGAGCTAAAAAAAAAAAAAAAAAATCACTTTACTGGTATCTGCAAGCAGAAGAAACCTCCTGTTTTAGTTGAGTCCACCTACTTGGTAGGCACAGATAACCCAACCGAAAAAAAATCATGCTTTGAGATCCATAATAACCAATTTGGACCTATTTGCTAAGGTTCAGTTCTTGCTAACCAGCTGTACGGTAACCAGACCCTGAGGCGAGCGTCTCCACCGAGCAGGGCAGGGCTTAGTTCCAGCCCGAGGGGGATGCTGTAAGCTGCACCTCACCTCTGCTGTGGCTGGTCACGCGTGTCACCTGAGCTGGGGAGGTGACCACGCGCATCTCTTACGGTGTCTGCAATCAGGCCCTAGGTCTGTTCGTGCGCTTTTGCAGATTGAAGGAGAAGAAAATTAACTTTAAGCCAGTGGTGTGCCTGTTTTCCACGCTCAAATCTCTTGGGGTGTTCAGCAAGCCATAAACAAGGCAAAACCGAGGAAGAACATGACATTAACTAAAATATCTTAACATTGTGCTTTCTTAGTAAAACTTTAAATTTGCATGTGTGTACCTATGTATGTATGCTTTTGCCTGCACTCACCACTATAAAGTGAGCTTCAGTTTAATAAAATTGCAGTGTTTACAAATGCAGGGGCTCATATTTCATACAGTGACATCCCTGAGTTGCTGGGAAAGACTAAGCCAGTGCGATAATGAAAATGTAAATAAGAGAAAATACAATATACGTGATAAAAGGCAAGGGCAGATGAGGAAGTGGCAATCTCCTTTTTTGCCACTGAGGTTACTGTGGTTAATTTATAGGGTGTCAGAGAATGGAAGAAAAAGGTTTAAAAGAGCCGACCTAAGAGAAAACACTGAAAAGAAACAAATAATGACAAAAGAAAAATCTTTGTGGGGATCAGGACTATTGAGTTGGAAATAATAAATTTGCACAGAAGAGCAGTTTGTGTCCTTAGGGCTCTAGCTACAGGTTCCCCCCGCTACCTGAGGTCTGTGCTACACCTGCTATGCCAGGAAAGGAGGAGGGATGAAGAGAGATGTTGCTGAGGAGAATCTTTAAATATGGGATAACAGCTGAGAAGGGTTTAAATGTAAATATCTGATGAACACAAGGGAGGGAATGTTGGATCTGTGAGGCCTATTAACATGAAGCAGTTACTTTTAAAACAAGTTTTATCTTTTAAAACAGATATTATCATGAAACACCACAGAAAATAGTTCTTTGTCGGCAAGTAATAGACAAAATGACCTAATAAGTGTCTTGTATTTTTCTGCAATGAGGCTCCAAGAAATGCCCAGGACTGCTTTCTTGCATCAGGGCAGGTTCCACCAAAGGAACAATTTCTACCATGTTTAGAGTGTGTTTACTGGAAAATTGTTGGTCTGGTGTCATTTTGAGTGCCTCCTTGGCCAGATCTAAAGCTTCACAAGTTGTGGGGGTTTTTTTTGCCAAGTTTCAAAATATTTCCCTTGGGAAAAGAAGAGGAAGCAGATGAAAGTATTAACCCACAGGGAACCATCAGATCCTCTTCAGAGGCAGAGATTAATGCTGGTTCTGGAGTAGAGAACAGAAGGAAAAAATAGACTGTCCCTTTGAAAGGGATGAATCTTTCATAATTTCCTGTCTGCAGTTTGTTATAAAGAAAAGAGACACATTTCTCAGTATGGGAAATAGAATCAAATCTACAACAATAATCTGGCTTATTTTTAACGTAGAAATATCTGCCCTGTGGGGCCAAAGCTCATGAACTGGTGGTTCGAAAAACCTGTTCTTGCAGGACAAGCTGAAGAAAATGAATTGTGTGCCTTTGAAAAATGATTCACTGAGTGAGGCTAGTATTGTCAAATGACAATGTATCATTACTAAATTACAATGTTAACCAAGTAATTTTTATTCAAGAATATTTTGAAAAAGTAATTCCCAGACCCTAATTTTGGGTCTGCTCATATAATGGACATATGGATTAGCCAAAAAACTACGAGTTTTGAGCTGTAATTCTGCAGATTTTGTTTGAATCTATCATGGAGCTATAAAGCAAGTTTTCCAAGAGCAAGACCTTTTTCTTCTTGATTTTTAGAATGCTAACACAAATTCTAAGTGTTTTGGAAAACTGGTTGCTTAAGAAGTATATGGCAGATCAAGTACCCAGCAAAAAAAAATTAGTCATATTAAAGTGCTTTTGCAAAAGAGTGGGACTTTTCTCAGCTGGATTTTTCCTGCTTCTGTAGAAAACAGAAACAGCCAAGTTGTAGGAATGTAAATAAAACGAAGTATGACAGTAATCCAACAGGCTGGCTGCCCGCATTAGCCTCACCGCTTACGAGGGCACATTTTTTTTCTCTCTCTGTTTAATTATAGGAGAAAAAGACTAGATGGACAGTATCTTACACTTTTTTTTTTTACATTGACTGAAGTTCTAAATAACTAGAGTGACTCAATAGGACATGTCAGAGAAAAACTGTGCCTGTTTAACTGGTTACAGAGCAGGGAAAGGCTCAGAGCCTAACTTGCTTATATACTGCACAGCACAAAATGCGTGGCTTCCTATGGAAAAATGAAACAACTGTCAAGGTCACGTGTAAACTGCTTATTGCATTGGGAGACAGCAGGGAAATGTGGGGGAAGGAGTCTGGGGTTATGTGCCTTTCGTAAAGGGTTTTAGGTAACTTACGGTTAACCAGAGGTAAATTAAAAGGTATCTCCTCTACAATGTATGGATTAGCGATGAGCCTCTTCAACCTGGCTCCCTTCTAGATGGATTTCCTCTTCTTTTTTCAACCACTTATTCCCCTACCCTCATTTTAAGGAATTTCTTCCCTGCTTTTTTCTTTCTCTGCTGCTTCTTCTGCACTCGTTCTTTTTGTGGCATGTGTTCTCTTTCAGAGAAAATGGCTTTTCCACCTTATATCACATTATCTTTTTTTTTTTCCCTGTAGCAGACATCCTTTTCCATCTCCTTTCTTCTAACAGGAGCTGTAATTTCTACACACTTTCCCTTTGTGTGGAGAAGGAGTGTCCTTCAGGCCTCTTCTGGCCACTTACCAGTGTTCAGTAGGGGCTTTTTTTCCTGTATTGTAAATGGTTGTGTTACTCTTCTGTCCCATGCTATTACGGTCTCTTACCTTTATTCCCTTGCTTGCGCAAAGGACCTTGAATACAGTATTTAGGCATGTGTTTTCACTGCTCAAGCCCCACAAATGCTGACTGAAACTCCAGACAGAGGATTAGGAGGATGGCTCATCCTGAATTCACCAATATTTCAAACTGATTTCTTAACACCGAAACACTGAACCAATGTTAATTAGCCATTATCACTCACTTGTGTGTCCTCCCTTAATAACCTTCATATATATGTACAGAATTAATTAACTTATTAAAAGATAACTTTATTCTGGTCTATTCTTTCACTTAGAGCTCATTCAGAGCCAGTCTACTCTGAATTCATGCCTTTCCTCTATTCAGAGCAATTCCATTTCCTTGCACATTTCTTGTGAAATCCCTGTCTTTCAGAAGGAATTTCTATACCATACTTGAGCCAAATAACCTAAAACAATTTTTACAGGGCAAAGTAAGGGGAGCATGAGCTTTTATGCCAAGCAACTTTCGGATGTAGATGGGATTTTCATGTCACCTGAAACCTGCATCTGGTCATTGAAGTTTAAAGAATCTCAAATTGACATACGCTAAGAATCTGTATATGTTTAGGCATTACCTATACTGCTGGGGAAGTGGGCTTGGCAGGTAAAAACATGCATTAAAGAAGAGGTAAGATTATGGTAATACAGGATGTGCTATGTCCTGAGTATTTTTCTTCCTTGTAGGAAAGTGATCTCTTGAATAAAATGCACAGAAGTATTTTTCATTGCTTATCTGTTTCCCCAAAAAGTCCATAAAAATGCAGGCTGGATTCATTACAGATTCAGCAACTGTGGGCATCCTTTGAATTTCTCCTAGGATTAAGGTGACCTTTACCATCTCTGTAGCAAGCTTTTTGGTTAGCACACAGAAGAGTTTCCCTCACTGTTTACCCTCGGTATAATGTCATTGTCTAATATGCTTAAGCATGTCTGCTCTCTCACTTATATTTGCACAGCTTTTTTTAAAGCCTAGTGCTTTGAAAGGCTTATTCCTTCACACTGTTTCAATATTTAGACAAAAAATATCTGGTGTTCCCTTTTGGAGCACTGTATCTGCTGCCTGCCCTTCTGTTCTTACCACCAGTTTTGGCTTTGTGAATGGGGAGTTAATTGGCAGCCCAGTAAGAAATGTGAGCTATTGCTTTACTCATATGGCTTTTATTTTGCTTTCAAGAGGTTGAAAACCGTTATACAGATCAGTTCTGGTGATGGGTTCTTTTTTCTCTGTTCTTGAAAACCAGTCTGTCTTATCCATGCTGTTAATAGAGCAAAGGTAACAATCAAAATAAATATTTTCCTGTCCTCTCTTTCAGATAAAATTGAAGATGAATTAGAAATGACTACGGTGTGCCATAGACCCGAAGGACTGGAACAGCTTGAAGCACAAACCAATTTCACTAAAAGAGAACTTCAAGTGCTTTACAGAGGATTTAAAAATGTAAGAACAATACAGAGTCTAGTATGCATGTCCCCACCAAACTCTGTGGGTGGGGACAAAAGCTGTGGTTTGTATCATTCCCCTGCTAAACGTTAGGAGTTTTGTGCTAGATCTCCCCTACCACAACAAAATGAACACAATCTGTCTCTCCATCTAATATTTATGATACTGTAATCTGCCTAAAACTGAATTTGGATGAATATTCGGATCATAACGTTCTCATTAAATTTGTTCACCAAATGTCAGTAAGCACACTGCCATTTCCTCAACTGTGCCAAAACTTTAAGATAACCTGAAAGTGTTTTTATGTTTACTTACTTAATTCTTGCTGTCAGTTCCTCATGTTCAAATCTGAGCGGTACTGTTTGCTTGTGATTAGCTGCCCAGGATGGTTGTTTTTATCCTTTCTCTAACTGGAGAAATCTTGCTAGATTAGGATGTTATTAGAGCACATTAGGACTATAAGGTCCTGTGTAAGTAGGAAATAAGACCGGAGTGGCAGGAGCCAAAAAGAAATCAAAAGTAAATGAGTATCAAGACTGAGAAGAAAAAAAGAGAGGCTACAGATTTAGGCGAAAGCAGGAAACATGCCAGTTGGCATGACTGCATGCACAGAGCAGCATCGTGCTCGTCTTTGTGAACCCCTGTTGCAGCCATACTCTCCCTGGTATCGGGGAGTCTGTGGCTCCGTGAGCCTCAGCTTCTAGGTCACCTGCTGCTACCTCTTAGGGACTCATCATAATAAATAGAAACAGGTAGGGAATTTTGAGGCTACGTGGAGCAGATGTTTTATGGGCCCTGAAGAATGAATACTCATTACATGATTGCCTGAGGGTCTGGATTTAGTCACCCAGGTGGTTTGTGCCAGCTGATGTTTTTATGATGACTAATAGATCAGTATCCAGCTAGCTCAATAAACAGTGTGTTTTTTAAGTTGTCTTGCAGGACAGCTCCATCATTTTAGCTACTGTCACTGCAAAATGCTGAAATTTCTTGGAAAGAGATCGTCGAGTCTACCGGGTAAAAACTTGCCAAAAAAAAGCTGAGCTACCTTAAATACAGGCAATGTTGAGGGAAACCTGCTGGACACTGAGAAGGGCCTTTCTTTTTGATAGATTGTTGAAATTTGATCAAATCACATCTCAAATGCATACTTGACTTCCCCAAGAGGTCTGGTGGTTTCATCCTTTATTTCACCACTCACCTAACCGGGCCAAGGCATAGCTCAGCCTTCTGTATTTTTTGGTTTGGTGCATGTGTTGTATTTGTACAACTTTTGCTGCACGTAGGAGGTCACTTCATGTGTGAAGTTTTCTAACAACTGAAGACTGACATTCTGAAACCTGTTCATGCTTTGGGCAGTCAGCAAGAAATCACGTGGCTTTTGAGACAGAGCTTGACAAGTTAACGTACAGTATAACATGACATGACTGTCTACAGTGGCAGACTAAACTCAGAGAGTTCTTAACTGCTGTGTTTTGCTAAGATCTCTGAAATGCTTTCTGTTTCGCTGTGTTTGGTGGGAATCCCGCGTGGGAGAGCTGTGCTCTGTGCTGAGAGGAGGTGCTGGCTGTGCCAGCAGTTATGTTACAAAACAGAGGGGCAGCCTTAGAGCTCTCTCAACAGATCCCGCATTTACCTCTTGCCCCTCCCAATTTTGCTATCACTTTGCAGTACGGAGGTGTTACCTCCCAGGGCAAGAATAACAGCAGACAAGTGCATTTAACTTGTGACCTAAACGCTTTCCGAAAACCTCACTGAAGGTCTTGGTATTAATTGGCAGTGCTGGCAAGATCTTGCTTTATATCTGGCTGTTAGGACAAAGCAGTGTGTTGTCTTCCAGCTGCTATGCATACAATATGCATGAAGCTTTAATATCTAAGGTTTAAATTTAAATGAAAGGGCAGCTTTAGCAATTGTAGCCTGTAAATCATGGTTTCAATGGGATAAGTAATTATGCACAGCAGGCAAACTGATTCAGCTGTTACCATATTTGCTATTGTACCAAACCGTCTGCTTTTTGGCATGATGTTACAGTGCCATCTGGAGATTCAAAATCCCTGTGGGAATACAGTAATTTTCCTCTCTCTGGCTTGTACTTACTGCCCGCTCTCAGTGATCGCACAGGTCCTGTTTAATCAGGAGGCAGCACCTGGATTATCACAGGACCATTTGCAGGCACTTGTAACGAACACGGAGAGAATGAGGCCCTGCTCAGCCTGGCCACAGTCACAGGAGCTGAAGGTTGGATGTTCGTGAACATGGATGCTGTTTGGCCAAAGGCAGTTCAGCGCAGCCTGGGGTAGCCTCTGGACTAGGACTGGCTGACCAGGGTCTTAATTCTCAGTACTTCTATTCCTGCTCTTTCACAGGAGCTGAAGGTTGGATGTTCGTGAACATGGATGCTGTTTGGCCAAAGGCAGTTCAGCGCAGCCTGAGGTAGCCTCTGGACTAGTGTCCTGGCTGACCAGGGTCCTAATTCTCAGTACTTTTATTTCTGCTCTTTCTTCATCTCTGAAATCTGTTTCCCCGCTCCCTCCAAACCTTCCAACTCTCTTCCCAGTGTGTCACTGGTCAGGTCTGGTGTTTCTGCGTTGGACTGATGGAGGCTTCCACTGAATTCAGATCCTTTGCCACTCCAGAGAAGCAGAGGATGATAACCTGGCCAGTGTCCTTGCTGCCTGGCCAAATGACCCCTGTCTGTGCCTTCAGCTTTCTTTTCAAGTTGTGGAAGGGTGCTGTTGCCCAACATCTCTTGATGCCAGACCCAAAAGTTCACTTTTATCTCAGCAGTTATCTCTGTCCCCAAGGTGAATTCTGTGTTACTTAGAATAGAATTTTGCACCTTGGAGTTAGCTGCCGTCAGGCTCGAGCCAGATTAACGCGAGGCATTTGGCCTGATTGCTTTAGCTGTGGTTCTGCAAAAACAAAGTAACAGAGATGGCATAAAAACCAGCAGAACCTTCAGTGGATCTTTCCTTGGTTTAGCTTAGCAAAATAAAATGTGATTCTTTCTGTGTATTATACAACAGGAGAGAGAATTGCTTGAGCTGAAAGGCAACATCAGCACTGGAACAAAATGGCCATGAACAGGCATAGGCTGGAATTAGAAGAAAGTTTCCACTCCCCGGAGGAGTACAGTTTGGGCAACAGTTACAGAATGGGAGGGAGGAAAATAGAAACCATTTTAATCTTAAAATTGATAAATTGATCACTAATGAAGTGAACAAAAATGAGAGAAGTTTGAGCTCAGTATTTCAATAGCTCCATTTAGACCGTGTTTCTAATTACTTGCATTCTTTGGAATTGAGTGCATGGATTTGAAAGGATTGGGATTTTTTGCTTAATTTGGGGGGGTTCAGTGCTCTTAGGGGAAATGGTTGTTAGCTGCAAGGGATAACTTACTAACTCAAAAAACAGACAACCCAAATAACTGAAGGGCTGTTGGAGATATTCTTACCTTGCTTAAGTGCAAATATTTTAGCAAATCTGTAATGGAGTGTAGTACAAGACGTAATTATCTGTAACAAATCAAGGTTTTGGAGAAAGCAAGCAGTATGAGCAAGGTAGAAATGTTCTGATACCTTAATGATCCCCAAAATATCTCCAAGCTGGGAGAACATAATGAGAGCAACAAAATACTTGCGATGTGTGAATGCTTAGAGATGCAAATCTGGATTGTGGATCCTGAAGGAGAATATGTTAGAGTCTGTCTCTGGTCAGCTAACTTAATACCTCTAATTTAGCAAAAGGTGACCCCGCCAAGTACTCATGTTCTGGCCAAGTTAGCTGAGAACAGTGTGAGGGGCAGGTTGTGTTTAGCCCCACCTCAGTTCTGCTGCTGATCCCTGCTTGTCCGCATTGCACGTTTTTGAAAGCAATCAATGAAGTTAATTTCTGATTCCAGCAGAAGAAAGAACAGCAAGCGCAACTTTGGTTTGGTTTTGGGTTTGGGTTTTTTTAAGGTGGATTCAGCTCCTTTGTGGTTTAGTATTTTAAAAGAAGTCTGAGAGGTTAGATTCATATACATGACTCATGCTGTCAGTGCCAGTGCTTGATAGCTTTTTGAAAATGAGGGGTTGTTTCTGTGCTTAAAGAGTGTTGACTGTTCTCGTTGGACATTTTAAGAGAATTCATAGGTTAAAAAAATGAGAGGTATTTACCTGAAATCTAACTCCCTTCCATTGAAGGAAGGCCTTACAAATGTTATGGTGAGGGACCATGCTTTTTCATGCTCCCAAGAAATTTTTCTTGAATGAGTAAAACCTTTGGAATTTAAACTGACACTAAGCTTACCTGCTCCTTTTCATGAGAGATTTCTTTCGAGTCAGCTGTATTAAGTTGTACTGTAGCACTAATGAGGCCTCTTGAGCATTATTTGGCTCTTACAAAAACAAAATTGTGATCAATTAAGTGCAAATGAATTGGTACTAGCATGTGTGTCTGAAAGCAATCCAGTTACAGAGAGCTAAACAGGCTGAGCAATGTCAGCGCTGCCTCTCCCCAGCACTCCTGGAGGCTTGATGCAAACTTTCATTTGGCTTCCAGATGGAGCATCAGAAGCAATAAGGATCATGCGGAAATTCAGAAAATTTAATCAAGTACAATGGCCAAAACTGCTACAGGAGACTTTGCCTCTGCGAGGCAAGTGCCTGCAGCAGCAGCCTCTCCTCTGTGCTTGCCCTTCACAGATTGAAACTCCATTCTCAGGGTTGCTAGTGGCGGGCTGGGGCTCTTAATGTGATAAAGGGCTATAAATGTATTGTTGCAGAAAGCATAGAGAAAATCATGATCAGTCCCTACATTTATATACTATCTTTAAGCATATGCGAAGTGATGGTTCTTAGTGAAAATAATAGTTGTATTTATCAAAATGAGAGAAAGAAATACATCTTCACTTAGTGTGTTTGGCCAGTAGCACTATGCTGGTGCTCTGCTACTACGACGGCTAGGTGCTGTGCTAGGCTTGATTGTAAAAAGAGTGACAGTTTGGTCAAATATCTGAAAAAAAAATCTGAAGTTCTGCAAAGGCGCAGCGCGGGTCTTGCAGCAGCAGCACTTCGGTGACTGAGGAGAAAATTTCTACCCAAGAATGTCTGTTGATGGTGTACTTAGTCTGATCTATGATAAAAAGATACCGTAAATAAATACCAGATTATTTAACATACATTAAATTACAAGCTTTAGGAAACATGAACTTTGGGAGAATGCTTTTATGGTAGCTGTTACCTTCTTTCTATTAATGATCCTTTTAATGATTTCTAGCTTATTAGAAGTGGCATGAATACATGAAAAAGTAACCACTAACCACCATGTTTTGAGGGTACTCATCTAACCAGGAATTTTGCCATACAGAATTAGAAAGTTTTGTTAGCTTTCTCTGTAAATAAAAAAAACAAGGTCTGGTCCTGCAGCCACTGGCTTTATATAGTCCAGTTGGTCTTTTCATCCCCTTGCTGTGGAACAAGCCTTGAACGCTGACACTGGAGAAGGGGTGACCACGAGGTCATAGAATCCTAGAATCTTTGGGTTGGAAGGGACCTTTAAAGGCCATCACTCCCCTCTGCAGTGAGCAGGGACATCTTCAACTAGAGCAGGTTGCTCAGAGCCCTGTTACCCCTTGTCCTATTGCTACAGGCCCTGCTAAAAAGTCTGTCCCCACCTTTCTTATCAGCCCCCTTTAAGCCCTGGCAGCTGCAGGAAAGTCTCCCCGGAGCCTTCTCTGCTCCAGGCTGAACCCCCCGGCCCCCCCAGCCTGTCCTCCCAGCAGAGCTGTTCCAGCCCTCGGAGCGTTGCTGGGGCTTCCTCTGGCCCCGCTCCAGCAGGTCCATGTCTGAGGGCTCCAGAGCTGGACGCAGCCCTGCAGGGGGGTCTGCCCAGAGCGGGGCAGAGGGGCAGAATCCCCTCCCTCAACCTGCTGGTCATGCTACTTTGGATGCAGACCAGGATACAGTCAAGACCACAGTGCCAGGTTTGGGTTTTATTTGGGACATTTAAATATAACCAGTGGAAGGAGAGTTGTCAGGATACGAAGACATAGAGTAAAAGATAATTTCAGGGTTTTTCAAGAGACAAATTATGCTTTATTTAGCTCAGATCTATCCCAAATGACCAATGGTTTTTACCCAAATAGTGGGTGGAAAAGAGGAGGATTTCTTCACTGGAGGAAGGAACTCAGATCTAATCCCCCTAATTCCAGTAGCAAACAGGTATGTGATTAAGGAACTGCCTCTGATGTCACCTGAAATACCTCTCCTTGCTGTCCCTCTGTGACTTGCACAGGATAAAGTGATTTCTCTTGTTCGTTCTGTCCTTTTCTGTGGTTAGTGAATGCACATCAGCAGCAGGTGATGCTGGCAGATCAGAGACTTGAAAAAAAATGCCTTTTTTTTTTCCTTCACAGGCGGAAGAATTTCTTGTCAAAGTCCTTTTTGTTCTGAAAAGGTATCTAAAGAACTCATCAATAAATGTTATAGACTTGAATCTTCCTCCAGCTTTTTGTGTCACCAAGGCAAAGGGATTTTCTTAGACTTCCTAAGTTTACTAATCTCAGATTCATCAACCTGTAATGATACCTGAACAAGCATTTGTCTGTCTTGGATCTGCAGAGAGGGGTGTAAGATGCAGTGAGTGCATGCATCTGTGGCAGCTCCAGGCTGCCAGTAGTGCGTAACTACAGCAGTACTGGCTTCTGCCCTGCTTTTCAAACCTGCCTCCAGGGCCATGACACACACTCCCATGCCTGCTCTTTAATGAAGTCCAGACCAAGCACAGAATTATAGGGAGGTTAGGTGGGATTCCACCCCAACAGCATCATGTGGTGTAGCAGGTGTATTCCAGGTAGCGTAATGTGGCAGTGGTGTGTTTGGATGTAAAGGCTGTGCAGCTCTGTGCCCTTTCAAACTCCTTTCTGTTCATCCCCAAGCTTGCTTGTGCTATCACAACGTCTCAGTGTGCACAGAGGCATGGCCCTCCTAGATGTGTTAGTGCAGAGAATGAACTCTTAAATGAATTTCCATTACTTTAGAAGATACGACCAGGTGGAAAACATGATATGCTGCCTGAAAACTAGCCAGGGTTAGCCAATAGACTGGGTTAGCCTTAGCATTATTGAAAAAAATCTGAAAAACAGTTTCCATCCTATTTCTCTGATAATTCCAATTAGGATTTATTAGGAAAAGATCAGAGAAACAGAGAACACCATTATGCTGCAAGAGTCATGAACTAGCATCTTGAACATGGCTTGCAGTCCTGGGCTGCTGTCTCAAAAAGCGTATGGCAGAAATAGATGCAGAGGAGGGATGGTCAAAGGGTGCTCAGTGCCTTCCATGCTTCTCAGGGTGGGATGCTTCAGCCTGGAAAAGAGATAATGAAGGGAAGATCTCCAAAATCACAAGTGGTAGGTAGGAAAAGCATCAAGACCCACTGTTTGCGCGCTCGCGCTCTCTCTCGTAATGGATTAACTTTCTTGATCCCAAATCTGGCCTTCAGCTTCATCATAAACATCAAACCGAGATATATGCACCAGTTCCATGAGAGATTCTCAATCCATCTTCAGTCTGTCCTACCAGGAGTGGCAGTACTCTTGCTCCCTCTTCCCTCCATGTGACACACTGCCTCAGCTGGGGCAGAGGAACTTAAATTGCTGTGAATTGGGTCAAATGCCTGCAGCAGGGGACAGTCCCATGGTGTCTCTGCCAGTTGGTATTTCTGAATGTGGGAGAAAGATGACTTTTCTGTATCTATAATTATGTGCGCTCTGAAAAAGGATCGGTGTCATGGTTGTCTTATTGTTTTTCTCTGGGTTTAGTTTTCACAATTGGTTGATTGGCAAATCTGTGAGGAAGGGTGTTATCGACTGGGAAATATTCTATATAATTGAAAACTTCACATTGTCAGATAGCAGTGCCTGAGGCCCTCTGTGATATGTGAATGTGTGTCATAACAGCACTGAGCTATGGTGCTTTATCACCCCCGCCAATAGTTAAGCTAAATTTGCTCTTGAATTTTACTTGAGTTGTCCAATTAATTTAAGTTTAAAAGGAGAGTTGAGAGTACGGAAACAAGATGCACAAAATAGACCCAGTTCTTGTGCCCTTTTTACCCATCTCTTCCATAGCGTGTGGTCTCCCATCTTGCTGGATAAGGTCTGAGGACATTTACAGGGTAAAGCACCTGGGGGCCCAGCTCCTCATACCTGCCACATCTCCCTCTTCACAGGTGCTGTCCAGACTCTGCAAACATGCCCGGGGAGTACCTCCTACCCCAAACTACCATAATGGCTTGGATTTTTTGGCTGTAGCAGAGCAAGTGCGAGCACTCCAGGCAGGGATCCCATTTCCCTTCCTGAATGCTGCCCTGTGAAGGGGGTCGTTTGTGGGGGGTTAGGTCAGGAAGTTCAGGGCAGAAAATCTGTCACCCTGTTCTTAAGTGTTTGCCCCTACTCGAAGCAGCCAAAAGTGAAATGAAATGCCTTACATTCTAGTACCAGATCTTAAAAATAAAATAACCCCACAGGCTGCCAGGTTAGAAAATTTTCATGGGTGCAGTCTAGCTTCTCAGAATTTTACAGAAGACTGAATGGATAAACAGGTTAATGATCTAATCTTTTTCAGCCTAATACTAATGCTGGTTTGTAAGGACTTACAAGTATAGTCTGTATTGTTAGCCTCCATGGGGCTGGTGTCAGGTATCTGGCTACGGTCTTTTGCTGAGGATTAATGAATTCATATATGTGGAGGCATCGGACAGTCCAATGTTAGCTGGCACTAATGTTATTTATAATTATTAGTTGAAAGCTTCCTATGACAGAAGGCATGAGCCTGCCTTTCTAGGTCGTCCTATAAAACACTGATGAAACACCGCTGAAAACACTGTTAGAAATGTTAATAATGGTCAACCAAGTCTATCAGATGCTTAGGATGAAATTGCAGTCTGAATCATTTTAATTTCTTCAGCTGCACAGTCTGTGCATCCAGAGTGCTGTGGGAACAGGAATGTGATTTGCTTAATTGCTCTCTTCAGGCTTGTAGAGTTTTGCAAATGAACCTTTACAAAGCTGGGTTTTTTTCTTGACTCTTTTTTTTTTCCTGTTTTTCTGACAGGAATGTCCTAGTGGGGTTGTTAATGAAGAGACATTCAAACAGATCTATGCACAGTTTTTTCCTCATGGAGGTAAGCGGAGTACTTTGCGTCTGCCGGGTTTATTGAGGCGTGCCTTAACATTCATTACTGCCAGCTGGCTGCAAAACTGCTTCAGATAATCTGTGCAGGAAATGTGAATTGATCTTAAGCTTTGCAGGATCTTAAACAGAATCACAAACATCAAGGTAATAAAATTAAGTTAGGCCCTTTGAAGAGTTATTTCACAAGAACATAGACAAACCTACATTAAAGATTGCCCCCAGTTGTCAGCCCTTTATTCCCCAAGTCCAAAATAGAAACTGGAGATTGATGTGCTTTTTTGTACCAACTTTCTGGATGGCAGAAAGCTAAATCACTTCCCCTCAGTGTGTCTTTGCTTCCCTGCTGTTGGACTGCTGTGCAGCTAGTATCTAGCGCAGTACAGTCCCAGATCTCATTGTGGCCTGCAAGTTAATCAAAAACTCCCTAAAATTCTTCAAGCAGTCCTTAATTGATGTGTGAACTCCCAGCTACCTGAAATGATCATTTCTGGTGTTTGTGCAACTAAGATAGGGTCATGTCATGTACTGGAATATGAAAGTATTGTATTAAACTTCGCAAATAATGTATGTTCTTGCCTTTTAAAAACATCAAGATTCTACATATTCTGTGGGGATACAGTTCTCAGGTTGAAAGAAATGAGTCATAGGTTTAAGTGGCTTTTTAATAAAAGATTCAGTATTTGAGGCTTTCCAACTATATTCCACTCTGTAGTAGCTGCAGAACACACACTTTGTGGAATGATGACTGAAGTTGCTGCAAGAGTGTATGTGTGCATGTGCATTTACTTGAAGAAGGTTGTTAACAAGTGGTTTTTCAACTAAACATGAAGATAAAACATGCTATGCTTATGTTTTACAATGCGTGTGACCTCAAAGGTGTACACCTATAGAAAGTTATCAGTAAATTTCATTATGGATTTGATGATTTCCTGTTGTGGTTGCTTTTGTCTTTGTTATAAAAAGCAAACAGTCCTTTTTTTTAATATGCAAAAATTTAAGTATTTATAATCTTAATGTATTTCTGTGTTTTGTGTTTTCAACCAAAAAGTTCTAGTAAGTCCAAAGAATTCCAGTTACCTCAAGTAACTGCACTAACTTCTTTAAGTGACACATCTCAGGTGACCCCTTCCTTCCCATGTGTGAAAAATAATCAGGCACAGAAACTTAATCTTTTCATGAATAGGTAACTTTTTTCCTCCCTACTGAGGCTGACAAAGACTTACTTTCTTGCTTTTTTCCCTTTTTTTTTTTTGTCCCATTCACTTGAAATGTCATTCACCCTTGGTTAATAATGATGGTAGTATAGCCATGCTTAATAATAAATCAGTCTAACAGCAGATCTGATTTCTTTTTTTACGCTGTTTTCTTTCACTTGGTTTCCAAACTGTTTGTATAACCTTAACATCATAAATTGTGAGATTTCAGATTCCTCAGATTTTTCACTTTTATGGCTCTCTGTACAGATAAACTTGTACATTCCAGAGGCAGTAAAGTAGCTCTGAATTATAAAAACTTCATCTAGTGTCATCCCAGACTTATGATATTTTTGTTATGTAGGGCTCCTCTCCTTGACAGGTTTTCTTCTTTGCTAATTTGTCATCAAATGATACTAGTGATCTAGACCTCTAGTTTAATATTGTTAGTTCATTGTTTAGTTTAGCTTAATTAGTTTTTGGCAGGACTGTCCCATAAGAAATTCTATGGTTTTCTTATGGAGTGATTTTGTTTCAGAGTCCTTCTCTTAAAAATGGCGATTTTTTTTTTCCTACAGTCCACTGTATTCTATCCTTATGGATGATAGTAAGCTAAGTATTTGATTTTTCTGCACACTGTTACACTTTCCTGGATTTGAATAATGTGAAAATATTTAAACATTTAATAGAGATCAGAGTAAAGAGATGCTGGGTCATTCTACCTGACTGCCTGCATTGCCCAGAGCACCAGGCTTGACCTGAATATTCATACATTGAGTATGAAGACTCAGGCTTGACTGATGCTGTGTGCTAGAGGCAAAGAATAGAAGAGACTAAAAAAGTTTGTGGCTGCTAGAATAGCAATGAGATAATCAAGGGCATTTAATGTCAGTTGTTTCAATCTTGAAAAGTTGGGCTCTAATAATATAAAGTGCAGTGTGAATAGCCCCCAGAGCCAAAAACAAGGCAGTGAAGGTCATAAGGTCATGCACCTATTTGATTTTTTTTTCCTGCATACCATTACTGTTTTTCCCAGTTAACTGCCATGCTTCACGTCACCATAGAAACTGTTCTTCTATATAGAAAAGATTTTCTAAAACCAGCAGTTTGAGATTCAAAAAGCCTCACATCTTTAACAGTCACGGGCCAAACTCAAGTTACTCAAACTAGACCCTCCTGAAGTTGGACAGTCCCTGGGGATCTCTGCTGTATCTCACACAAAGCAAAAAGGTAGAGGAAGGAAGCACACATGCTGCAATCACTCTTTGGTGCTTTTGCTGCATTTCCCACCACAGCTAATACTCCACTTACCCCAGAGACACTCTTCGGAGATTTCTTTTGCTTATTCTTTCAAGTACAGCCCCGTAATCCAGATAATTTCTACTGTAATAAAAGCTTTTACATTTCAAGGCTGTTTCAAGGGAGGATGTGGGGAGTAGGCAGGTCTATGTTAACATTTACTAGTTCATAGAATATCTGGCAATGCTACAAGGTTGGCTTTTATACAAAAGGAAAATAAGGTCATGAGTGTTGTTTAGAGCCATTAGTGTATAATGAACTGTTGTACTAATCATGCCCTCTGTGTTTTTCAGATGCTAGCATGTATGCACATTATCTCTTCAATGCATTTGACACTGCACAAAATGGCTCAGTGAAGTTCGAGGTAATGGTTTTGCATCCTCCTTTGATGTCTCTTTCTCAGTTTTGTGGTTTTAAGCTTCTCCATTCATTCTTCATGTGCATGTTGATCTCTTCTCCCAAGTGAAAAGCAACAGGACAAGAGGAAATGGCCTCAAGTTGCGCCAGGGGAGGTTTAGGTTGGGTATTAGGAAAAACTTCTTCACCAAAAGGGCTGTGAAGCACTGGAACAGACTGCCCAGGGAAGTGGTTGAGTCACCATCCCTGGAGGTATTTAAAACACATATAGACATCATGCTTAGGGACAACGTTTAGGGGTGGACTTGGCAGTGCTAGGTCAGTGATTGGACTTGATGATCTTCTCCAACCTAAATGTTTCTCTTATTTGATGTAAACTAGTAGGACTTGTTAGATTGTGGGTTAGAGGTTTCAGTCTAAAAATCAGTTGATAGTTTTAAAATCTGGTTCACTTTATGCAGATGGAGTTGTATGTTTCACTAAAGAAACATATAGATCGTGTTACTCAGTACTACAGGGAGAAAGTGCAGGGATTTATGTAGCAGACAGGAGGGGTTGAGGACAGTCCTATCCAGTGATTTGCACAGGTAATTTGGATGTCAAAGAAAAGCTAGTACATCACATGTCGTCTTTAGTCATCATACATCGCAGGGTTACATTTGTATGTTCCTGGAATGTGGGGTTTTTTTAGCTTATTTGATATATCAAACATCTTGGGTACTTTGTTCCTAGGGAAACCAAATCCACCTTTTAACTAAAAGGCTACAAATAGCCATCCTTCAAGCTCACACACATAGTTTGAGTGCAGCAAAGGGATATGTTAAGTCATAGGCCTATGGAGGATGAACTTCATAATTTTGAAGACAGTTTACTACGATCATAAAACCAGAAATCATAGGCAGTCTTGCTTTTGCCATCAAATGGCTAAGAATTCCAGTAATTTCCAGCTAAGACTGTGAAATTAGTTCATTTATTAAATGTAAGATGGAAATGTTATGATATGTATATATGTGTGTCTGTAGTGATGGCTGCATTGGGAGTTTTGCATATGGCAGCTACTCAGTATTTAGAAGCTTCTAAACCTAAACAGGCTGAGACACAGCAAAATGCTTGGATAAGTATTTATTTAAAAAAAAAAGTGCTGAGCTTTCCTTCCTGGCAAACCTGTCTCTTTAGTTGTTGTCAAACATAAGCGTTTGTCCCCTTTTTTTGTATTGTTCAGCGAATTCAGATTCCTCTGAGCCTTGGGAAAAAGGAGCAAAGGTTTCTAAGAAGTGATGCACTGTCCTATGGAGAGCTAATGGAGATAATACAGGAAGGACTAGGTACATTAATTGAGGTATCAGGAACTGTATACCTCTGTCAGCTTGAAGTTCTGCCGGTACTAATAAATCCCTGTAGCGATGCTACTTACAATGTCTGAGCCACTATGCAGTATAAACAATAAATCAAAGTTATTAGAAGCAATAACTTTACTGTAAACAAAAAATACAATTAAAATGCTGTGTCCCAGACTGAGTAATTAGTGGTGGGAATCGCATTTGGTCAAGTCTGACAGATTTTGCCAGAGAACAAAACCCAATGCTCCCTGTGTTAGAGGGGTTTTGGGATCTTTCTGTCTCTCTCAAGGAGGACACAAAGAAAATGCTGAATTTTCTTCCTCCTCCTCCTCTTCCTTCACTAGCACCGTAGGTCTGGGGGGTAAGAAAGCATCAGCTTCCACTGCTGCAGTGAGTCCAGCTGTGTAGCCTTGCAACAGACCATTTCTAGAAGGCACGTTGCCACTGGAGCATCCTTGTGGTGCTCTTAAACAGATATGTATGTTGCCATGCTTACATTCGTGCAGCGTTTAGAGTTTAGAACATGAAGAATATGGATGGGTAACAAGGGACGTGTCCTAGCTTTGAGCTTACTGTGCTGTTCCTGGCAAGTCCAAGGAGCTAGAGCAGCCACTGTCCTGTCAACTTCAGGATCTAAGTCTGCCTGACTTGGACTGGTTCTGCTATTAAGCCCATGCTCTTTTCGCACACCTCACCCCAAGGGTTTAAGACTGCAGCACCCATTAGGTCTTCCTGCCCTTCCAAACTTGCTAAGGTGCCTACCCCATACCATAAGCTTGACCTTTACGGTGACTGCAGCTGAGTGCTTGAAGACTTTTCTGATTCTCATGGTTACCTCATAAACAATTATTAGTGTGACAGTACTCAGATCATCCTAGCGGGTGATATGTTCATCGAGTTTGGTCAGAGAGGACACATTTTTGGAAAAGGGAATCAGAAGAGATTGATAACCATATGCTCTATCCTAAAAAGATAAGTCTTTTGACTGGTATTATATAAAGAAGGTGACTTAGAAGAGGATATGATGAAAATTCACATTTCTCTCTCTGCCTTGAACCAGGATTTTGTGATGGCATTGTCCATTCTGCTGCGGGGGACTGTTCATGAAAAGCTAAGATGGACATTTAATCTGTATGACATAAATAAGGATGGCTATATAAACAAGGAGGTAAGGCTGTTTCTGACAAATGTAGTTGATTCCTGAAGAGAGCTGACTGGTTTCTGTTGCAGAGCACAATTAATTTGCATGCAGCTAATAAATGCAAATCAGACTGGACCTGAGCATTTATCTGAGTCTAAGTAAAGTCACAGCGATCTTACATGGCATGATTTTGTAGACATATTTTCCTATATTATAGTGCCTTTAATGGATTGTTTGAGACAGTAGCAAACCCTAGTTACAGCTATGAGTAACCTTTGCGAACGGCGGGGTGGCAGTGACAATAGCTACTGGGTGACTGATGTGCAAGGAGTTTCTGGCCGCACTGGGAGGTATGGTGTGGGCTCACCCAAAGCACTACAAGCCCCCAGCACCAATCCCAAATCCTGCATGACCATCATATTTTATCTTTTTATCTGGTATTGCTTGTTCCCTTTGTGGGAAGCCTTGGTTTTGAGCATGGTAACCTGCATACATCTTGGTCTGTCTTTTCAAAACTATTGTGCGTACCTGGAGCATTTGTGGTTACTGCTACTGGTCATGGAGTTATGTGGCAGTTTTTGCAAGGTGTGGAGAAGGGCTGGGTTCCCAGTGACTTCTTGCACCCCAGCACCATCCCCAGCAGCTGCCGTGTCAGAGTGCACGTCCTGCAATGCTGCCTGGCCAGAGGAAGGAACTGAGGACTGCAGGCACCTCCAATGCGGCTGTGGCAAAATCATGGCACAGTCAGAACGAAGGGCATGGTTTTCATAAGTGAACTTGTATGTCATGATACATCTGTCTTCATGTACATGCATAGGTATTTCCTGTGCTGTTTTGTAATAGGAGAATGAGGGTGAAGAAAAGGGTAGTAAATGAAAGAAATGTGCTATCATTTCTATTAATTTCCCTTTTTGTGTTTGTGCTGGCATGCCGCTACTGCAGGAAATGATGGATATCGTAAAGGCAATTTATGATATGATGGGAAAGTACACGTATCCGGTGCTCAAGGAAGATGCTCCGAGGCAGCATGTAGAAGTATTCTTCCAGGTACTTGATTTTTTTATGTGTTTTTCTTAACACTTGAGCTATGCACTGATACACTTTACTGTAAGGTTAGCCCCAAGTTCAATGATATGTCCTGCTACATATTCTAAAATAGACCCTAACAGCCACTCAGCCTAACACTACAGTGTCTGCCCATTTCCTGACTCCAAGGCATCCCATTTGTCTCTTAACCTGACCCATTGCATTGGGATGTGCCCCATCCAGCAAGTATGAAGCCACTGCATGTATTACAGCCCTTCTGTACTTCTTCACTCTACTGCCCACAAAAAGATGGGAATATGGATGCTGGTTGGTTAGGCAGTGAATAAATAAGCGATCTAATAAGGGCAGCGGTTGCTGTCTGTGTCAAGCAAGGAATAGTTGGAGACGACCTCAGAAGTGCTCTAAATACCAGGGTAAGCGAGTCCTTAGCAGTTGGTAAATTTATCCAATGACATTGAGTCTGTAATCTAAGCTTGTAAAGTCCCCTAGGTTTATTCAGGTTGCATCAAATAAGATATTATACTATAACTGCAGTGTTAACTATGGAAACAAATTTTTTTTATTTTATTTTGCAGAAAATGGATAAAAACAAAGATGGTGTTGTAACTTTAGATGAGTTTATTGAATCGTGTCAGGAGGTAAGGACAAAATTATAACTGCAATGAAAGGTCTAGCTCATGCCACAGCATTTGCTTTCCCTTTTGACAACCTCCACTTGAAACAAGATGCTGCTCAGGATCCCAGGTTTCCTTTGTTCTCTGAAAAAGAGCAAAGTCTGTCAGCTTCAAGAATGAGTTTCTGGTGGTGCTCTGTGAAGCCTGGGACCAAATAGGGAAGTAGGGTCAGGCGAATCACAGGAGACAGCCTCTTCATTTCCAGTGCTGGTGGCCAGTGCTTCTTATTTTCATGAGTGAACCACAGTGACTGGTTCTGCAGACAAGCAGATAACTCTAGAGAAAGCTCATAATACCTTTAACCTTCCTTAGTTTGTTCATTTGTTTGTTTGAAGAGGCTGATATTGTCTCTGTGATGCACTCGGATGTCATTAGCAATTACCAGGTTGCTGGAATTGCCCAGAGCCAAAGGTCTCTCAAACTCTTGTAGTTACAGCACTGACTTATCAAACCAGTTGATGTTTTCACGGTCAACCATTAAAAGCAAATGCTGTCGTCATAGCAATGATTTTTGTAAAATTTTTTTCCTGTTTTGGAAATAAGCTCCCTCTTGCAAATTCCATGCATTAGGTTGGCTGTCATAAATATTTGCTGGTATTTTTTAGCACTGGCACAAAGACAAGCGTCTGCATTAACATGCCATTAGCCAAGTGTCTGTTGTATTAGACTGTAATTGACTGTGTGAATGTTTGCTCAGAGATATCTCTAATATTTTATCAGTACAATAATGGCCTCTGCATTTTAGAAAGTTTACATTGGTGCAAATAACTGCATACCAGTCCTCCCTTGCATTTTACTTTCCCTGGAAAAGTCTTTCCTGTTCTGCAGTTAGACAGCTTTTCTGTACTTGAGCAATGGGAAGACGCTCGCTGTGGAGGGCTAGGCTGGCTTCCCACTGCTTCTGTGTTAATTCTGGCTCAGATTACTTCTCAGTCAGGGGCTTCAGGTGGCAAAATCCTTGTTAGCAGATGCATAATACAAGGTAAATTTTATTCAGTTACTTCATTCTTGGTCCTTCCTCATTGTTTAGCTTATTTTTGGCCTTGTCTTTAATTTGATCATTTGTGTTGTATGTTATTCTTCACATTCATAATTGGCCTTCAGGCTGGATGTGTGTGTATGATTAGTGGTCTCAGTGTCAAAGCAGCTTTACTGTACTTTCAACTGTTACAGTTTGTTTAATTCTCTGCCCTAGTTTGCATTTGGTTCCTTCTGTTGACGTACTAGGAGCTGCGCAGTCTGATCCACTGTCATATGTGGTTTTCTGGCACGTAGGAATGAGCCCTGCAACACTAAGATGTTTGGATTTTTCTTTATGAAAAAGAAGCAAAAGTGCAGTCTAGTGCTTACCTCTGCCATTTCTGAGGATGTGGCTCACGGGCAGTGATCGCCTGGCATTACTTTGGAGAGGATGATTGGTTTCCCGTGCAAGGCGATACCTTGTTCTAGTACCCACCAAACTGCATTAGAAATGAGATAAATGGATGCAGCCTCAAAGTAAGATAGAGGAATGAGATGCAATAGATCTCTTGAGTTGCTCAATGTGGAAAATTATTTTCATGTTATAGGCAAACAGTTAGTCTAACTTTTGGAATAACTGAATTCCTGGGGAGAAAAAAAATAATCGTTAAGTTTTTGAATATTACTTTGGTTATTACCTTAAAGTACAGTTTTGAGACTTCATCTGGGAAATCTGGGATTTCCCTTCTGTGTCTCCAACTTTCTTATTTGGGTCTAGGAACCTTGGAAAGGCTGAGACTGCATGTATTTTGGGTTTGAGCTAGTTGTATCTCTGGGATGAAGTGGTCCTTCAAGGCAGCTTGCTTATCAGTTCAAAACACGCAATACCATTTGGACTTTTGAAGCGTATTAGCTAACTGCACATTTGCATATTCAGGGTCAGTGAAATGCAGTTGGGCACTGAAGTCCAGAGGTTCAGTACAGTCACCAGCTCAGTGCTGGTGTCTGGTTTTCTTCAGCAAAGCACAGCCCATGCTGAATGTCGAGCTTATGAGAAGATCCTGTGCTTGCATGCCTCAAACCAACTAAGGTGACAAAGTAAGAGATGTCTGCTTTTCTGAATCAGGACCTGGTCACTGAATCAATTCCAGCTCATTGAGGATGAAAAGCATTATGGAAGCAAAGCTGTTGCCTGCAGTAGCAGCTGCAGAGCCCCCTGTGCCATGCAAAGTTGAGTTGTGCGTGTCAGTGCTGGTTTTATGAAAATGTCTTCTCGTTGCTTTCAGGACGACAATATCATGCGATCCTTACAGCTCTTTGAGAATGTGATGTAACCATGCCTGGCGAGTGCTGGAGGAGTCAGAGACTTTCTGTGTAACAAAGACCTCCTTTCTGGGTGAAAGCTTTTTACAATTCAGCCATGTTCAGTGTGTGAGGATTTTGTACATCTCCAACCAAATGGCAACCGAATGCAACCGATCCCACCTCTTCTCCCCAAGAGATGCCGGTGGACCTTTGTTTCGTTTTGGAAGCATGTGAATATTTTAATAAAACCTGACAAGAGAGAACTGCTACTCAAAGTTTAATGAGTAATATACAGCATTGTTTGCTAGGCACAAGTCCTGCTTTTAATCTAGCAAGCTTGATTACTTATGATAGCACATGTCGATAGCTTGCTCAGCCATCTATTGCAAGTGAAAAGCTCAGTCCATACTACCATACAGCAAAATGTTTTATGAATGCCTTGCTGTTAATCTGCTTTGACAAAAGTAGAATTTACCAGAGTGGTCTGTAAAAAATGAACAGTAAATGTACCTAGGACATCAAGCAGACAGCCTGTGTAGCCAACATCCCCATTTCTGCAGAGATCCTGCTTTTCCTCTCACATGCACTGGTGTCACCACACTGAGTTTGGTGGACTTTTTCCTGAACACATTAGCTAGAGGATCTTTATGCCAGAGTGAGCCAGAAAGGAGTAAAACATGTGTTGCACATACAAATTTCAAACTACAGAACAAATCCTGTTCAAGGATGGTAAGCTCTTGCAAGACCAGGCAGGTTGATAAGGGCTGGTACAGGAAGATGAATACCTGCTCTGGTCCCAGCTGCCTTCTGCAGTCCCAGCATGTGGTAGGACACCAAGTGATTCTCCAGTGTGTGTCTCAGCAGCACCATGGTCATGTGCTATGGTCCTTTTGGTGTAGTCTGGCACATGCTTCCTAGATTCATCGTTTGAACGTTTGTATTTTTTAATTGGAAGTTACAGTAAAGTGTTGCCCACTTCATGGATTTATTTAAGCTTTCCAGTTTGACTTAGTGCAGAAAAGGGCCCAGATGGTGCAGTTGTCTTTCCACATACAAACCTCGGCACCCACGAAGTGCCCTGTAAGTTTAATTGGGAGCTGCTTACTTAGCTGCCAGGCCCATATGTTCCTTTGGGTAATTTAACATTTTCTATAGTAAAATCTTTTTTCCTACAAGGCAGTGGCATGACTTGCACAAGTCCCATTTCCTTAACTAATGCCAAATAGAGCATTGGTTTGGGGGTTTGGGTTTTTTAATTAGTAGAATGGGAAGAATAATGTAGTGAATTTACACCAAGGTTGGATTTTGCCCAGTAGATTATTTGTCAGCTGAGGAATATGTCAGAGCCTGCTTTGCAGAGGACTCTCAAGAAAGTTAACACACCAGAGTGCCATTGCAGTCTCCAGGCAGCTGGTGGCTGCGAAACCAAGGGAAGGAGGGAACAGCCAATTTTTCCAGCTGCTCAGACCACACAGAAAGGAGAGTCCCTGCCGTAGTGCTGCATCGCTCCCATCCAGTAAGCATATATTTTTATTATATTAGATACTATATTACAAATATACTGTTAGCAGTGAAGATATATTTTAAAAATTATGTAAGTGGAAGCTTTTTATAATACAAAATACATAGAATGCCTCATTTATGTAGCCCTATATTTTATAAAAATTTAATCTATTGATGTATTCCTGATTATAGAAGTAGGTCTGATCCGTACTAGTGTAATGCTATGCTAATTCCCCAAGATGGGACACTTTCCCCTTTTACTGTGCTCCTCCATACATTTCTGTGTAGTCTTACCTTTATTCCTTTCAGTTGCTCACTTGTCATCAAAAGTGCTATTCAAGTGAGTGAAGTTACACGTACACAGGAATGACACCCTGGTCTATCCTGTTTATTGCCATTCATACAAATATCATTAATTAATTCCTTCCTAGCAATGACACGGAACATAGCAACTCCAATAATGTGCTGTGATTCGCAGAAAGTGATGCAATGCTGTGAGAGTAGCCTTGTACTCCAGGTGTCTGGTATTGTCTATTTAGTTTTTATTTAATAGACACTTGATAAAGACATCAGTTGTAGCCAAAATAAGGCACAGTGTTTACACTGTTCCTTCTTGATTCTTCTTGCAATCGCTTTAGCAAATGACAGAATTTCATATAATGAATAACCTGCTTTTTCACCACACCAAAAGAGCATCTGCCTCTTACCAGTCTAAGCAGCTAACTTCAGCTGAGGGAAAAGTGGTCAAAATAGTGGAAAACAAGCATTTGCATCGGGCTAGCACAGTGCCTTTCTCCTCTGTCAGCGTTGCTCCAAATGTGCTCCTGAGATGGCACACGCAGCCTGAAAAGTTTTGAATGTGCCCTTTTCAAAAGAAAATGTTATTAGTTGCATGTTACCATGGTCCCTGAAGCTAAATTAGTTTTCGGGGTCCCTGTGATGAATTTGGCCTCAGCTATGTTTTCTGCTATAGCATATGGGTGACACGGCATACGTTTTCTGCTGCGCTATACGGGTGGCGCAGGGGTGCCTGTGTCGTGGGGGCTGTAACCGCGTTCTGCCGAGCGTGGCCCCGGTCTGGCAACATACTGCAAACATTTGGATGTTACTCTCAGTACGTGCTTAAGTGCATTGCTGACATCAGGCTACCGTGAGTGACCCTGCAGCTTTGGCATCTCCTTATCTGCTCCGCACTGTCAGTTTTCAGCTCCCGGTAATGATGGGGATGTCTTAGGCAGGGAGGGAGATGCTGAAAGCCACGGCGGTCCTGATTCTGCTCTTGAGGCATAACTAGCTTCAATTCGGTCTCGCAGGAGTCCAGACCCCACCTGCGCGTACTTGATGTTCAGTCCTGGGTTACAACCTCTCTGCTCCGCTTCAAGTGCGTTGTAGCTGAGATAGGAGGGTTGGCAAAGTGACACGCAACAGTTGTATTTTCATATAGCTCTAATTGTAAATTCTGTTTGTGGCGGAGTCCTTGCCTTTGCAAAACCACTTATTATCCTGCTCTTGTCTCTGATCCCACGGATGTCAGCCAGAGGCTGGTACGCATCAGTGCATTGAAGGTCTCTGGGTTTTCCGTGAGCAGCATATCTGTACATGGCATGTGTGCTCCAGCCAGCAGACGACAGACATCTAGTGACTGTGAGAGAATCGTACTCTGCATGGAAATGTCTTTGGGTTCGTTTTTTGTTTTCTGTGAACGTTACTTTGTAAACTTGCAAGCCTCCCATCGCTCATAAATGGGGCTTGCAATATTTATGGCAAGTACTTACTACTATAGCTTTCTAAATAAAACATAGTGTGCTATTCTAATCTCATACCATCGTAAGTCCTACTGCCAGTATGTGGAAGGTAGTTACTATGCTGGCTTCTAAGTTACGGTTAGACTATCTGTCAGTGCTATCAGCTGTGCAAATTTTCTCAAAGTTGTGAATGTTTAAATAATGTCTGAATCATTAGTCTGACTGTTTCATTAGTTATAAACATTAGTCTGCATCTTTGTGCCAGCATTTTCTAAAAAAAAAAAAAAGCCTTTCTAACATGCATTTTAGGCAACAATCTGTTGAAAAATAGGAATGTGACTAATGATAATGCAAAAAAGAATGTAATGTGCCTGTTACTGTCGATGTTTGTTTTCCTGTTTCTTTGAATGCATTGCAATATTGTGAGTAATCACAAGTCAAGCTATAAACCTGAGGATCCTAAGGTTCAAGCATCGTGGGCAGAACTTTGGCATTGCCTGACCGTGACACGTGTTGAGAACAAACATCTTTGTGTCTGTGTGTGACCTCTGATAAGATGGTAGCAGCAGTGTGACAACCTTTTTTCTTCATGAAAGTGCCATGAAAGACCTAAGGAAATGTTCAAATAATATAAATTGTGATAACTAAAGCCATGTTAATGGAGCAGCAATGCATAGCTTCACAAATGCTATTCTCCAATGGTAATTTGTATTAAGTTTTGTTGAATGGTTTTAAAAATGTTGGTTTTAATAATAAAAAGAAAATATCTGTAGGAGGGTGTTCTTTCTTAAGCCCAGTATGTATTTTTTTTCTTAAGGGACACTGTCAGGTTAAAAATTTACAGGGAAACTTTTAAAAGCAGGACTCTTATAAACACATATCTATCTGCATAGAGGCTGTTAAACTGCTGAACTGTGCTGCGAGCGTAACATTTACATGCTAATGATTTATTTGCACCACTGGTTCAGGGGTGCTTTTCTATTTGGTGCAGTGACATGCAGCTAACTGATAGTCTGGCCCTTCTGTAAAATAAGAGTTCAAAAATGTGCCACTGCATCACTGATAGTATCTCAGAGTAGTAAAAATTGAAAGCTTATAGGCATGTCTTTTCTCTTCAGCATTTTTGCTTAAGTTATAACCAGGAGAACAGGCAATCAAGTTGAAGAAAAGCGTAAGCACTGTTTTATTTTAGAGATAAGAAAAATAATCAAAACCTCACAGTGTCCCTTTTAGCTCTGCTTTGTTGTAAACATCCATTCTGACACATGGAGAAATGCAGAACAAATTTTGTGAGACTAATATATATGTGTGTACATACATATATATATATACCCATATTAAAAAAAATTTCTAAACTCCATTCTGTAGGGTATAATATGTCTACCAGTGCATCCCAGGAAAAAGAACATTCTCTTGCATACATGCAGAAATGTGAAAATAAAGATGTCTGTGTGAAACGTGGTATTGGTCTCGCTCCAGTGCCTAAACAGGTCGCGTTGCCCAGCTGACTGCTCCCCCGGGCCAGCTCTTGGCTGCACAGACAGGGAGCGGGCGGCCTGGGGACAGCCGCCGCTGCCACCGAGGCACCAGCCTGCTCAGAAGACACAAGTTCCCTGTGGAAATTGCCAAACCTGGCTTCTTGCTGTCCCTGCGAAGAAAAGGTGTTGAAGCTGCCTGTTCAGCCCCTCTCACTAGCTCCCAAGCGCACTCAGCTGCTGCTAGGCAGAGTAGACTCTGGCTCACCAGCACGTGCGTATGCCTCTTTATTCATTTTTCAGCATCAGCTTTGCTCCAGTGGCTGTCTAAAGTCTTAGTTACTGCGGTGAGATATCAGACACCTCTGATTTTATTCTCAGCCTATCACCATTGCAGGCTGAGCATCTTCTCCTGCTGCCTATGTGGTCTGGGGCGTTGCATCTGATGGTTTGAAGGGACAGTGGGGAAGAGGGCAGGTATGCACTGGCAACGAGGGCCGTCCCCACAGCATCTCTGGGAACATCCTCCAGACAGCAGTAGGATGAAGCTGAGGCATG